CTGGTTCCTCTGTGTTGGCTGCCTTGCGGCTCGCCCCCCTCCCCCCGCCCAGCATAGTCAAACACACAGGCAAACACAGACACACACAGACACACAGACACACACACCAGCTGACCTTGAGTTCAGCGGCGATGCGGGCCTTTGCCTTCTTCTGGAAATCGCGCTCAATGGCCTCTCGCAGCGCTTGCTCGGCACCTTTGCGCTGTAGCGATGGCAGTAGTGGTGATGGTGGTGGTGGTGGTGAGTTGGGGTAATGGGAGTGTAATGTGTGTGAGAAGGGTGTAAGCGTGCAAACATGCAGCAAACGTAACCTGCCCACTGCACTACACATAATCCACAACAGACACAGCCAGACACAGACAGACACACACACACACACGAAGCAAACAAACACACACACACACACACACACACACACACACACACACACAAACGAAGCACGCCTCACCCCCGAGAGCATGAGGTCCTGCGTGTGTTTGAGCGATTCCCTGGTCTGGTCCAGCTCGTGCTTGAGATGCTTTTTCCTGACGGCGGCCTGTTGCAGCTGCTCGCTCGCTTTGGCGCGAACGACGCGCAGCAGGAACTCAAGCCGCTTTTTCTCGAGTGACAGCGTCTTCACCTCGCGTCGCGCGCTCTCAAGATCAACCTCCTTCTCGTGCATCTCCTCCAGCAGCTTCGCGTCGTCGTGCACCTGCAGGGCGCGCGGGCTGGCGACGATGCGCTGCGCGTGTGTTGCGCTCTTTGGCATTGCCATTCGCAGGGCATCCACCTCGCGCCGCAGCGTCGCCTCGGACGTCTTGTAGTAGTAGCACTGCCGCTGCCACCCGTCCAAGTCCTGCTTGAACTCCCGCTGAAGCTGTTTGGATGGGAATGAGGGTAGGCGGGACGAGAATGAGGGCGGGATGTGTGTGAGATGTTGTGCATGCGATGTGTGCGTGTGAGATGTTGTGCATGCGATGTGTGTGCGCGCGCGCGTGTGTATATATGTGTGTGCACATGTGTGGGTGATCAAAAGGCATACTGAAGGTCGAAGAATAACCGCACTCGCTTGGGCAACGCTGCACATGTGCACAGCAGCCGCCATAATGATTCGCATCCAGCAGAGCAAACGCATCCAGTGCAGCCAACACACCTGGTCCATCTCGTTCTTGATGCTCTGCAGCTCCTTCTCGTGTTCGAGACGCAGCTGTGCAACTGCCGTCTCTGCAGCCTCCTGCGCGGTTGTCTTGACGGCAATGTATCCGCGCTCGGCCTCTCGCTTGGCCTGCTGCTTAAACGTAGTTGCCAACTCCTCAAACTCCGTTCGCAGCTGCGTGCGCGTCTTGTCTGCAACGTCGTTGATGTGCGCCAGCAGGGCACCGCGCACATGCCGCAGGTCTGCGCTCAGTGACTTGGTCTCCCGCAACGCCGCGTCCGCCAGACGGCTCAAGCCCTGCAGCACGGGAACCACGGGCGCTCCAACTTGTACCCCGACATTCTGGCGTCGTGGCATTGTCAAAAGAGCTGGACAGGGGGGAACAGAGGGGTTTGAATTAGGGTTGAACTTGGGTTGAATTGGGGGATGGGATCAAGCGATGATCAACAACAACAACAACGGCAGCGGTAGTGGCGGAGATGAAAGCAACGGCTGCTGCTTTGGTCGCTTTGTTGCTTGCTGGTTGTGAAGTTGTGAGGATTAGGTGGTGTCGTTGGTCAATTTTCCACAACCGTGCTTTTTGCAGCAGCAGCAGAGGAAGCAGCAGCAGCATGCGCGGTGTTGGTCGCTTGTGCAGGGGTGTGCTGCTGGTGCACAGCAAGGGCTCAGGGCCACTGCTGGTAGCCATGTC